TTTTGTGTACATGTATCAATAAATATTTGCACCAGTTGACCCATAGGGACCAGGTCGAATTTGTCCCAGGTCACCAAGCAGCATACAGTGCCCACAAAGTGATACATTTCCGTGATGAACCAACACAAAATCCCGGGGGTTCCTTCTTTCACTTTGACACCATCTCCTGGGACTACCTGCGATATGTGTTGCAACACTTGGGATTTGGGGAAGCATTTTTAACCTGGCTGTCAGCCTTATACCCATAAACAACCTCTCCTGCGCTCTATGACCCAGAATAAGGGTGGATGGATGGAACCAGAACTTGAAAAATTCGACCACCAATGCATATATAGGGTTGTGCAGCTCTAAACAAGGCTGGGGAAGCCCGACCAGTACTGCAAAGTGAAACAAAAAAGAGAGCGCACCAACCTTGCGCATTACCTCAGTAAACCATAATTTTATTAAATTCAGAACGATACTCACAAACAACAAAGTAAATCAAGCATGTAAGTCCTCAAATGAACTTTAGAAATGTGAAGCCTGTGCGAGTCACATCCTAGGGGTAGACACTCAGAATACGGCTGACGCGTTTCGAAGGGCATCCCTTCTTCATCATTATCTCTGATGAAGAAGGGATGCCCTTCGTAACGCGTCAGCCGTACTCTGAGTGTCTACCCCTATGATGTGACTTGCACAGGCTTCACATTTCAAAAGTTCCTTTGAGGACTTACATGCTTAATTTACTTCGTTGTTTGTGAGTATCATTCTGAATTTAATAAAATTATAGCTTACTGAGGTAATGCGCAAGGTTGGAGCGCTTTCTTTTTTGTTTCACTTGTCAGCCCTTTACTCCTTCCCCGAGGCCTCTGTCTGCTATGCGGGTTCCGCTTCAACTCCCTTCCCCATTTTCCGGGGAACAGGACAGAGCTGCCCTTTTTATCCTGGCCTTGGATCACTGGAAGCAGCCCTCCGTGCCGATCCCAAAATTACAGGGATCTCATATGCCAGTGTGTCCTATAAAGTGAACCTATTTGCAGATGATGCTCTCGTTACCCTCTCTAACCCTATCCCCACGCTCTCCTATCTTCACACTCTGCTGGCCCACTTTGCAACCATCTCCGGCATCCAGCTCAATTCCCATAAAACATTAGCCCTGAACATTTCTCCCCCAGATGCTATGGCCTCTCATTTCCAGGTATTCTTCCCGTACCACTAGGCAAGCTCATCCCTGGACTACCGAGGCATCCACCTGACCCCCTCCTACTCTTCCCTCTTTGCGGATAACTACTATCCTCTCCTTCGCTCATTACCTCCCTTATGGACCCCTGGCACTTTCCTTCACTGTCATAGATAGGCCGCATTATTTTGATTAAGATGACTGTGCTTCCCAAAATCCTGTACTTCTTTTGGATTCTACCAATCTGAGTCCCTGCCTTCTGTCTGCGTTCCCTTCAGAATACGATTATGGCTTTTATTGTGGCCCACAAGCACCTATAGTGGCGCACACCACCCTTTTTGCCCTCAGGCTGAGGGATTTGGAGTCCCGAATGTGTCCAAATATCTGGAAGCACATATTTTGCAACTTGTAATGCTACATGCAACTTCAGACATCCCCTGAGGGAATTCCGAACTGTGCACCTGTTCCGGTCTCGGCCCTCTTATGGCCCAGAGTTTACATCTCTGGGACTCAGGCCGCTACTCAGCCAACCTGCTATCCTCCTCCCTCCCGCTTCTTCCCCTCCTGAACAACCCTCTCATTTCTCCATTTCTCCCCCTCCTGAACAACACTCTCTCTCCTGAGCTTTTGCCTGGTGGCTTGCCCATAGATACTCAGGTCCACCACTTCTTTGGGTCCTGCACCTTCCCTTCTTGGCTTCCATCTGTGAGACCCATGTCACTCCCCCTGCACAGTCGTACCACTATCTACAACTCCACCACTAGATTTCCACTCTTCGTCATAAGTCCTCTTTCTCGTTTGAACACAAACAGCCTTTGAACACATCTGTCTTCACTCACCTGGAGACCATTTTCTCTATCTACTCCTCTTTATCCACAGGAAGCTCATCCCGCTCACACCCATAAATCTTCAAATGGGAATGAGGCGTAACAGCCTCCATAGAAATGGAGCAAGGTCTGGTCTACTGTAGACAAATGTTCATTTAACATGGTCACCATCAAGGCAGCCTATAAGGTCCTCCTCTGCTGGTACTGGGTCCTGGCCCGCATAGCGCATCCTGATGAGTTCCACTATGCGGGTTCCGCTTCAACCCCCTTCCTCATTTTCCGGTGATTATAGTGATAAATGTTTCAGGGACTGCGACCAATGTGAAGATGAGATCCATATCTGGTTGTCCAGCCTAGTGGACTTTTGGTCACAGCTCTATGGCCTCTTCTCGACCCTTTTTCATGTATTCTTCCACAAGGATGCTTGACATGCACTTCACTGCCCACTCCCAGGCCTTTTCTTCTACCAACAGTAATTGGCCACAAACCTTTAAATAGCTGCACAGCACTATTTTGCCAGGACTAGAAGGAAGCATTTAGTTGGGTTCATGGAGGTCAAGAGCATCTTGACCGCCCTCATGGTTCACGAGAAAATGACAAGCATACTCCACAACTCCCATTCCAAATTCCTCAAAGTATGAAGCCCATGCTGGTCTTATTATCTTCTCACTTTGCACCCCATGAGCCTGGATGTTCCAGGGCACTGTGGGATGCCACTTGACTCCCTCGCTATCTACAAATTGATGGTGACTGTAAAACTGATAGCCTTTTTAATCCTAGGTCCCTGATAAAGACAAGTGGTCACAATTTAAGACTGGAAGAAAGGAGGTGTAAAGTTTAATTGTAAGGAGGGTTCTTTAGTCAGAGCGGCAAAAAGGTGGAACTCCTTTCCCCAAGTAGTGGTATCAGTTGGGGGTATTCACAAATTCAAAATACTTCTAGATGTCTTTGTGATGAGCACAACACAACACAACATAGATTTGTATACTCTTAGAAAACAAAGTGACACACACACACATAGGTTGAACTGTCGTTTTCCAACCTTGTCTACTACACAACTACTATGTAGATATGTTGACTTGTATTCCACTATTGGGCACTACTCTGGAAAGTAAGGACAAAGAAAGATATGAAATAGATGTTCTATTGGAATCCTTTATAGTTATGGTAAAATGTGTGTTGCGTAATAATCACTGCTGTTCTATCAGAATTTTCAAGTAGCAACAATTGTTGAATGTTAGTGGCCCTAAAACCCAAAGTTATGACGTAGAGGGATTTATTTTTAGGCTTACATGTATGTAGATATGGTGTAAGATACCCATGTTTGGAGGTCAAGATAGTTTAACCAATTCAATACCGGGCAATTTTACACCTCCTGTCCAGGCCAGTTTTCAGGTTTCAGCACTCTCCCACTTTGAATGACAATTGCACGGTCATACAGCATTGTACCCAAACTAAAATTTTATAATTTTCTTCACACAACTAGAGCTTTCTTTTGGTGGTATTTAATCACTGCTGGGGTTTTTATTTTTTGCTAAATTAACAAAAAAAGACCAAAAATCTTGAAAAAAAACACACATTTTTCTTTGTTTCTGTTATAAAAGTTTGCAAATAAATAATTGTTCTTCATAAATTTAGGTCAAGATGTATTCTGTTACATGTCTTTGATGAAAATAACCCAAATTAGGATGTATTTTTTAGTTTGTAGGAAAGTTTTAGAGTTCACAAACGATGGTATAGATCTGAATATTGATCAATCCTGAAGTACTGACAGCCAATCTAATTTCTTGAGGTCCAAGAATGTCAGAACAGTACAGATATCCCCCAAATGACCCCTTTTTGCAAAGTAGACAGTCTGACGTACTTCATAAGAGGCATGGCAAGTTTTTTGAAGTTGTATTTTTTTTGTAATTTTTTGTAAAATGAAAAGTTTAAAAATTAGTTTCACAATTTTTTTTTTATATATTGTCACCAGTGCAGTACAGCGTCATCATATAACTGGCATGGCGGTGATCAGGGACACTGACTGGTGACAGTATGAAAAAAAAAAAAATATATATTTTTTTTTATTTATTTTTTATTAAATTTTTTTTCTTTTTTTTAAGATTTTTTTTTTCATATTTCACTATGACCAAAGTAGCATAGTAACATTGTACTACTTTGGGGAAGTGATCAGTATTTTGTTTTTACACAATTTGCTTATAGCAAAGAATTATTTTGCTATAAGCAAGCATTTACCTGAATGACATCGATTCATTCAGGTTTTTTTTTTTTGTTTTTTTTTGTGCTTAGCTGTGATTTGGCCACAGCTAATCACATGACATGTGCATGTGATTAGCTGTGACCATTCACAGCTAGACACTACTATACAATGGATGGCATGAATGAAGCCATCCATTGTATACAACGGTCATGTGATTGGTCATAGCAGGTCACATGGTACCAGAAATGGGGGCCGATACTCAGATCTGTCATCGGCCGTGTCCGAGGTACACGGCCGGTGACAGATCGCGCCGCTGCACGGCTCTGCAGGAGCGAAATCTGCGCATGTGCGGGAGGACACCATATGGCGTCCGCCAAGAACGCTGATGACATTTGCTGGCCGCCATTCGGCCATAGGGTGGGCGGCAAATGGTTAAACCAGTTAAATGATATGTTTCAGAAAACATAATCTCTCGGTTCTGTTTCTTCCCCTTTCTTAAATGAGAATAGTACATAAGAGACAGAAGGCATAAATAAAATGCATTCTATTAATTGTACAACATATTACAACTGGTAAAGTCTAGCAGCTTAAATACTTTGAGCAATTGTATCTGCATCAAGGAAATACAAGCATTTTAAAAACAAATTAAATATTTGTATTAGGTTGACCGCAACCCAGTTAATGTGTTTACAATTGGAGCTAAAGACCTAATTTTGTTTTGTGTTTTTTTTTTTTCCCCTACAATTATTGGCAAATGTATAACCAGTACTGAAAAAAAAGTCTATTTCAACTCTATTCAAGTGATGGTACTCTAAATCCTTATTTGCTCTTCTTTTTCTGTTTCAAATGCTGTATTAGGCGCTGGGAGCTCTTCTATAATCATTTGCGTGCATTCTCTTGTTTGGCCAAGACATGAAGCAATAACATCTACTGCTAAGTTTGTTGTCGCCTTTACTTCATCAGAGGAGGCTCCAAGAGCTGGGTTAACTTCTACCAAATCTAGGGCTGACAGCATTCCTGAAAACATCATTGAAAAACAAATTAAAAAAGTTAGGTGTTTGTGCATTATAGTGTCAATCATGAACAAATTATACATTTTATGTAACAAATAATGAACAGTTTATAATTAATTAAAATGTAATTGTTAGAAGGCATAAAACTATACACTATATATATTTGGTCTGTGTTGACAAATACGGCTTGCCATCCATTTAAGATGCTTTTGAGATCATTTAAAAATAACCTTACAGGTGCATTAACCTTCAGTTGTTTTTCTTCCAACCTGCATTTCACCTGCCTTAAGCTGTTTTAGAATTCCCATAGACTTCTGTGAGGAGAGAAACAATTCTCACATCAACAAAAACCCATTCACACAGGCAGTTTTTTTTTTTTTTTTTATTCAACCAGTGGGTTGAACGGAAATAAACTGACAGATTTCCTGCATCCACACAAGTGGTATGGATGCCGGACCCCCCCGTGCTCTGTTGTATTGATTGAGAAAAAATTTCCAGCATGGCAGTGCAACGAAAGTTGATTATTAGATTGACTTCTGTTGAGCAGGAGCAGCCATAGATCGAAATTTGGCTGGTTCTGCAGGGACTGGCCAGGTTTGGGCTGAATTTCAATCCATCTATGGCTAGTTTTAGATGACTTTTTATAATTAGTGATTCACTTCATCTGTGGTTCATTAAACCTAAGCCTATGATCTGCTTTGCAGATTAGATTGGAAATAACAGATTAACAATATATACTTTCAGTTAGTACATAATTTAGATTATAGTGGTGTTTACAAAGTGCATATAACTGCTAGAAAGGACAGGGGGAGAAGTTTAAGCAATTAAGGATCTTTAATGATCCAGTATGTACCTTGAGCCCACCTGTGAAGATGCCAGGACATGCTGTCAGAACTATTATATTAGCAGCTATTATAGCATTGACTGGCAAGCACAGTTGGTTCTCCTTGGGCATTGCTAAGTGTAAACTAATATTGGTTCTCAGAGAATTTAACTACAATGAGGGGAATTTACTAATGCTCATCACACGTTATATCCTGATTGTACAATTTCATTTATATCTACCAACAACTATGAAGTGCAATGGCCTGCCTGATTAGATAGAAAATGATTCGAAAGATTAGGCAGGTTCTCCTAAGGCTCCATGAACACTTCAGCTGATAAACTCACGTTTAGGAGCTTTTCTGCATTTTTTTCAGCAGCCCCTGAACTCTCCCTACTGTTTTCCTACACACGTACATGTACATGTACACTATGTCGTTTACAGTCGTTTATAGGCAGTTGAGTTTACAGTCGTTTTTTTTAACGCAACAAACTTGTGTTCAGGAGTAGATTTTATCAGCATTTCAAACACCAAACGATTGTAAACGTGGCTAACCGCATTTATAAGCGTTTGGAAATGTTTTTTTTAACTCTTTCATTTCCAGATGCTGTCCAGAGCCTTTTTTCATCATGAAAAATGCATGCAAAGCGGTTTTCCAGTACTCAATTAGACAGTGCTGCAATCATTTCTGCGCAAAAAAAAAAAGACAGCTAATCTCAACAAATACTGCTCTCTATGCTTCCGCTCTCTCTATTTCTCTCAAAATGTCTGAAATAGTTAATTTATTACTGGTTTTTAGTGCATTCTGTGCATTTTGGAAGGTCTCCTGAGGTTATCAATAAAAAACACTTCTAAACGCAAATGCTCATAAATGTGGTATGCAAATGCAGCTAAACAGACGCCTAAAAAATGACATCTCACATGTTGGTTTTGGAGCTACATACACTAATTGTTTTAAAGTCCTCACTGGAACTGATAAAAAAGCTTATTTTATTTTTTGCTCCCTTTTGCCCTTTAGGAAAATTTAAAATACTCTTAGAAGACAACACTTCTAAATGAAAACCATATTTTAACCAAAAAAAGTATATCTAATTTATGCAAGTAATACCATTACTGCTGAATTAAACTTATATGACACCTCTGGCGTATGGCATTTAAGGGCAAACTAAATTTCATAGTGTGCCGCATCAGCATTATGATTTTCTCAAAGGGCCGATTGTATCAGTGAGACTATATAAATGTATCTACTCTTCTTTGACTGTTCTTCTCCTGTGGACCACAGGAGTGCAGTTCATTCTGCACTCCTGTGACCCGTTTTCAGCTGACAATGGGCTGAAGCTTGGAGGAGGACCATAGGAGTGCTATAATCAGCTAATGGAGTCTTCTGAGACCAGGGGAGGCAGAGAGGAGGAGGTGCAGGATCTGGCGGAGAAGCTTTGTCCTCCTGTCTGCTGCCAACTGCTGAGACAAGGTGGAGGCAGAGACGAGGGGGGTTCTGTAGTTGCAGAGAGGTGTGAGGGCCACATAAAATGTCCTGGCGGACTGGATTAGGCCCACGGGCCTTGTGTTTGACACATGTCATATATTGTAAAGCTGGGTATACACATACTGAAAGCAGGAACATCAAACTCAGTAGGAACAAGTTGACTTCCGCTATGTATGTATGCCTCTCTGTTCAACAGAAGCCAGTCTAGCAACAGGCTTCTGTCTAACAGTTATGCTGGAATGCCGATGTGTGTGTTCTGATGAGGTGGGGGGGGGGGGGAGTCACCCTGTCAGAATACAATAGCATGGTGGGAGAAATTTCTGCATACACATTGCTTTTGTTGATACAGGGATTTGTGAGTTGAGTTTTTTTTTTTTTTTTTTTGGTTGAACAAAAAAAAACATGTATACCCTGCTCAAAACAGGTGAAATGATAGCCTGGGGTTAAATACATCCAGGGGTGATACCTCTGTGATTGAAATGGGTTTGGGGCTCCAAGGAGCAGATTTTAGCTTTAAAGACTTTAAGTTGGAATCTTGGGAAAAACACTTTTTTCCTATCATTCATTGAAAGATACAACTACCATCAAGGACCAGTGGGTTTATAACAGCATACTAGGTGCAGCAAAATAGAGGCTAGGGGCCTGAGACACAGCTCCCACAACTCCAGCTGGGTTTAACTTGTAGCCTTTGATGAACTGGCTTATACTCAGAACTCGATTTGATGCTAGGCCACAACCTAAGGTGCTATGGTTGTGTTCGGCTTGTTGAATTTAGTGAACTGGTTCATACTTGGGGCTGCATTTGCCACAGAATATAATGCCATGGCTGTTTGGGCAGCACTTAGTGTGCCTAAAAATGGTCTACATATGCTTCTTTGTTCTTTGTTTTTGTTGTTAATTTTGTGTGTCTGGCATTTTTAGCATTAGATGCTGAAGTAGTGCCAGCCTTGACCATTTCTACCCACCCAACACTTAAATGAAGCTAGAGTAGGAAACTCACCCTTGGCAAATATACAAATTAATTGCAGGTTGGGTGTCTGAAGGGGTTGAGGCGAGTATGTAGGGTGCAGTTGTGCAGTTGTGCAGTGACTAGTCCCAACCATCACCTTCTTGCCCAGAATTTGAAAGGAAGAATGGAAATCTAAGACCAACCCCTCCATACAATAACAATTACATGCTGTGTCACTGGGGGGTGGACCAGAGTGCCTAGGGGCAAGCAGACAGGTGTCAGTTTTTAAAATTAGACTTTTGGCTCTAGGAAAAAGTTCCTGCTTCCTACCTTCATTTATAGATGAGTTGAATTGGACCTATTCTGCTGGTTAAAAAGCAGTATAAATCACTAATAATAATAACAATAGAAGCCTTCTGTTTTAAATCTGTTGTACATTTGAATAAAGCATTTTCAACTAGTACATTGTGTGTGTATATTTGTTGTGATTCATGCTAATGAATTGATCCACAGGTAACTTCAATAAAATCCTTTTTAAGTGACCTTACAAAAAATGGAAGAATAAGGCTTTTCATTCTTACCTGTCCAAACAATATTCATGGAATTAAATAAATAATAATATTAAAACTCCAACTGTGTTCTATACTAAAGTAGCAGTTGGCAAAGGAACCACAGCTGCCACCTTTAAATATATCAGATACTGGCAGCATGGTAAAAAGACAAGTCCGCTTTAAAAACAACTTTTTTATTCTTTCAAGTATTTTTTTTTCTTTATTATAATGTAGGTGGTGAAAGGGTCTCTTTAATTATAAATGAGTCTCTATGCACATTGTATGCTCAGTCTAGAAAACTGCTTTTGTCGGCTTCCCCAAACCTGTTCATGGCTCTGTGACAGTATGGTACTGATTGTATTTCTGAACACATTTTTGGTTGTGCCAATATAGTACTGACTGCACCTTTGTGGACAGTGATGTCACTAGGGTTGGAGTCACCTGGTGCTGTAAAACATTGTGTCACCCCCCACCCAGACTCAGCATGGAATGTACCATGTTAGTGTGTGTCTGTGTGGGGAGGGGTTTGATGGATGGAATGTACCATGTTAGTATGGGGGGGGGGGGGTAGGTGGATGAAATATACCGCTTCAGTGTGTGTGGGGGGGGGGGTGGGGGGGTAGAATGGATTGGACCGTGTGTGTGTTGATGAAACATACCATGTCAGTGTGTGTGTGTGGGGGGGGGAGGGGTGATGAATGGATTGTACCATGTGAGTATAACAAGCATGCTTTACTGCATATACAGACTGAGTTTACTGTTGTGGGTTTAGTAACACTTTAAGGATGAGCAGTATGACTAGAAGTTACGGTGTGCCTCTAGGGGCTGGCCTTAAGGTTTTTTTTAGCCTAATGTCCAATCTTTAGGTACCTGGTATAGGTTTATGAATATGAAACCCTGTGTTCCATAATGGATAACAAAGAAATACACTGTTAATTAGTGCCTATTTGATAGCTGTGTATCTGAAACTAGTATAAATATCTGACATTCATTGTGTGGTTTGTGATTATGCTGTGTTAACTATAATTTCTTTATCTTCCTCTGAGAGACACATAAAGATAGTATTTGTTAGACAACTGGATTATATATAGCTGCCTTCAGGAGGTGGACACTGACAAACAGAAAAAAAATTAAGGCCAGCCCCTGAAGCTATGCAGATCAGTGTTTCCTCCCCAGTTGACTGAAGACTGTGGGA